TGAAATCTCTGTCTTGATAGTGATAGCTTCTTATTTTCAGTCTTTAACAATTTATTTATGTTGATTGGGCATTTCAGAGGTAGCTTTTGTAAGTATTCATCATTCCCAAAAGGGAGCTCAAGTAATTTAAACATACATGATTGTTTCATCTGAGATGTTGTCACAATTAAAGAATTTTCAATAATGTTAAACATTCAGTAACACTTAAAATTCATTGATGTATTTTACAGCAGCATCTTATTACAATGTTTCGTTGTAAAAAATTATAACTTAGAGCAAATTTGGATTTTTGGTCCCTCTTCCCAATATCACCATGTTATTTTGACTTCATTATAAAGAATTTTTTTATAATGAATCTTTTCTAATCTTCCCAATGGTTTGTTCTAATGAGATTTCACTGAATGACAGGTCTCATAAGTGGCAAGTTTCATGTTCTCAAATGTATATTACGGTATGTACAGTACTATGTTTTTAAATGTTTGTCATCTCTCCACAGTCCATATATCAGCCTGAGCAAGCAGAAAAGTTGAACCAGTTTTTAATGAGTAAATGGTCAAACATTGCTTCAAAAGTGATGTGACTATGCTTGCGCTATTTCAAAAAGAGTGGAGTACATTTGGCTACAAATGGAAAACTTTTGAACCAACCCTCATGTAATAATATACACCAGCAGCACTAGCTTGACTTATCCACTCAATGTTAAGTGAACTGGTATAGAACACTGGGAAATCCCCCCTCCTCTCCTCAAGTACATGGAGGGAAAGTGGGCTTTGAGAGTGCCCACAGGGCTTGGCTTGAAGGGAAATCCCATCCCAGTCTGTGGCAAGGAAAAAATAATGCCCTATCGGAATGTGGGAGACCGACTTATTTGGCTTATATTTCTCTGCCTGTTCTACTTATTTTTATAACCCATGGATGCATCTACTTAAAGGTTTCTACCAATTTTAGTGACAGGGCTTTAATTTTTAATGCATTTTAGAGAATGAAGATTTCCCCCAAAATGTACAACAAAAAATATTGGCTTACAATCATTATAAACATACAGTATTTAGCTAGTGACATCTAGTTTATGAAAGTATAACATCTAATTATGGCTAAATTAATAGAAGAGATTCAAAGCATCCCTTGAACCATCACCCAATAATTAAAAAAAAACTTGAAAAGTTGTCTGGTGAATGCACTGAAAATAGGGGACTATAATCTTGGAACTTATCTGTTCAGATAAATGTCAAATTTCATATTGGATCTTCAGCATAAATCATAGTTTTATTTTAACGAGAACAGATGTGTGTAGCAATGGTTTCAAATTATTTTACTTGCATTATGCAGTACAGTATATGATTAAGGACAAACCATGCATTTGAGACCTGAATTTTCCTCCCTGTCTTCTGATTGTTTTAATTGTTGATAAAAGGCTTTGGGATGTATATTAATTTACTTTACTTTGTTTTGTTTGTTTTTTATTGAGAAATTAGGAACATTTTTGTGTGCTAAGATTGGCAGAAATCTTAGTTCAGTGAGAGGAAGTTGAATCTGGGTTTTCCAAGGGACTTTCAGAAATTAATTAGGCACAAATAACCTTCAAATCAGTACCTTTCCAGTACTGAAAGTTGTTTATATTTGGTATGGACAATGTGTCAACAGAGGTGTTATGACAACATGGGTTTCTCTCATGCGTGATACTGAAACCCTGATTGAAAATTCCAACACCAAAGTGTTACCCATTAGTTCTCATCAGTGATTCACTCATTGAAGCATAAAAAAAAACATATCCCTGCATGCATACTTTTTTGTTGCAAAAATTTCTTCTTGCATATATGCATGCATGCTCTCATATGTACATTTATTTGCTGATTCATTGCATGATGTTTGCATCTGGAAGCAAGCACAGGTATATTTGGTGCTACTTTCATGCTTGACATTTCTCAGCTCATCACAAATGCTTCCTGGCTTTGATGTGGCTCGGAGATCCATCCTTCTTGCATGTGCATATTCTGCTAATGTTGGTGGTACTGGAACACTAACAGGATGCTACTTTCATGCTTGACATTTCTCAGCTCATCACAAATGCTTCCTGGCTTTGATGTGGCTCGGAGATCCATCCTTCTTGCATGTGCATATTCTGCTAATGTTGGTGGTACTGGAACACTAACAGGAACCGCTCCAAACCTTGTAATCAAGGCTGAGGTGGAAAGGTATCTTCTCCTGGTTATCTTTCCATTCATTAACCTTTTTTCATGCATGCATTGATCATATTCCTTGCTTTTCTTATTAGGCTTTGAACTGTAAATAACATGATTGCTGCTTCTTAAAAGTTGAAGTATACTTTTTCCTTTCTTTTGAACTGTTGCAAATACAATGCAAGTGAAATCTTGTTTAAAAAATATTGTTACAATGAATTTTTGGTTCAAATGAATTCTTTTCATGGTTTAGTATTAAAGCCAGGACATTTTAGTAGCACTGCTTGTCTAAGTCAAACCTAAGCAAAAAGACAAAACTAATTCCAGTCTTGACTCTTGAGTATAAGACTTAGTCTTATTTAGATACAGTAGTATTAGTCTTAAGTAAAAACTTGGAACTAAAAAAGCTTATTAAAAAAACCCTTACTTATAGTCTTAGCTCTTGATTAAAAAGCTACACAACTCAATTTTTTCTGACCAATCTCCTGCAAAAATTGAATTTCAAGCATATTTAAGAGAAATATACTCTTTGAATCTACCCTCCCTTTGCCAAATTTTCTATCGACATTGAGATATTTAACTGTGGCTAAATTTTAAAATGCCTGATCAAAAAAATATGGAATTTTATGTTTAAAGTACTGTATTTCTTAACTAGACCAGAAAATCAGTTCCTTCGATTAAAATACAAGAATCGGGTAGTATTTTATAGATCATATGCTCACTGAGTTGGAGTTCCCTCAAATTAACTTTTTGTATTCAAACTTTGTTCTTGTATGACAATTTGTTCATAAAAATAATATTTTGTCCCTTTAGTCCCATGTTTTTTAATGGAAACGCTTCTTAATTTTCCTCAATAATGGGATTAGGTATTTTTTTTTGGATAAAATGCTCAATTTGTCCCGCTTTGAAACATCCATAGGGTCTTTGAATTTGTTTTTTGATTGATGCCAGTTGTTTTGGCCCAACCCAGAAATTACGGAGACAAAGCTGGGCTCAATTTCGGAACGTGGATGCTTTTCAATGTACCAGGAATGCTCATCAATGTTGCCATCGCCTGGTTCTGGCTCCAGATCATGTTTTTGGTGGACTGGTGAGTTTAAAGCATGATCTTTCTTGTCGAATAAAGGGTTGACCTTCACTGCCATTTGATTGATGGGCTTTTAAAAATCCGCTTTGCTCCTCCTCCTATACAATCAAAAACCTGTTCCTCGCGTTATACAATCTTTCTTGGTTCCTGTTCATAAGTTTCCACTCTGACGCCGGGTTCAAGTTCAATGATTCATGTACACGGTAATTTTCAAATTAGTTATGCATTCACTATAGGTATTGTGGCCCCTTTTTTGTATTCGAGGATTATAATACTCGTTCTAGCATACTGTATACTTGATTTATTAACCGCCTATTCATCTATTTTGTTTTAATCCATGAAAATGTAATCTCGTATAGGCACCAAAACGTATCATATTTTGGACTTTGCAGTCCATCCTCTGAGTTTATCCACTCAGTAAATTAATTTGTAAGCCAAGCATTCAAAACCAAGGAACTGATGAGAAGATAAAGATGAATATGATTCAATTGATAATACTGAAAACTATGAAAAAGCTTGTTATATATTTTTATAGAGTACCTGATTAAAGTGAATGAAAGTACTGTAATAGCATTTGAAAACTTTGAATAATGCAAATATATATTTAGGGCTTTTTCTCAATGTTGGACATATTGAAGTTTAAATTAGGAATTAAAAATAACATTATGCAAGAAAACATGGTACATGTTAAATTATGAAACATTTGTAAGCCTTAAAATTAATGAAATGAACAAGAAATATAGTTTTACAAATCTATAGAATTAAGAATAAAAACCCATAGAAATCCTTACAGTAGTAATCAATGGGATATGGAAAAATGGAGACAGAAAATGTGAGACAGGGACAATTTGAGACAGGGACAATTTGAGACAGGGGCAATTTGAGACAGGGACAATTTGAGACAGGGACAATTTGAGACAAGGACAATGATAGACAGCCCCAAAGCAACTGCAGATTTTTATTGAATGGCTATTCATGCAACTAATGTGAAATGCAAAATATTACTCAAGTCACAGCAACGTGCTGTTTCTTGTCATTTTTCTTGATAAATGCTGCTTTTATGTTGAACATTTTGGCATGCCCTGTCTTCACCTTGAGTCACTGTCCACATGTTGGCCCTTTCTTTCTATTTCTTCTGGACAAATAAGTGTACCCATTTGAATTTTTCTTTTATAAAACAAAATTAGCCAAACCTTTCACCAAATAGCAATTCTTGTTCATTTTCACACCTTAAACATAAGATAATAGCGGGAAACACAGTCAAGTCATTTTGCCTCAAAAAGTCTCTTGTCTCAAAATGTCACAAATTCTAAAAATGTATCTGCTTTAAGTTGTCCCTGTCCCAAAAAGTTTCAGTCTCAATTTTTCCCTGTCTCCAAAAGTAATGTATCTGTCTCAATTTGGCCCTGTCTCAAATTGTCTCTTGATTTGTCCTATAGATCCATAATTGATGCATTGTGAAAACTGAAATGTTAAGTGTTACTTCTACTCATTTTTTTGAATGTGGAAACAGAGCCGAAACAGTCAATAATTTTTCAGAACATAAAAGAAAACATAATTAAAGTAATTAACCTCTTGCTAAATCTTTGCAAAATATGAAAAAAATAAAAATAAACACATGTATATATTCAATGATCAATACAGTATAAACTCATGTATTATATTTATTTTATATTGTACTGTATTTTTAAAACTGGATCAACTGAAATTTTCATTTGAAATCTACGAAAAACGAACTTGATGCATGATGTGAAACCTTTGAAATGATTTTGACGTACTAAAACATATTCGATGGCATTGAAGGCGGTCGTACGTGTTCTTCTGGCGCAAGAATAAGGCCGACCCCGCGGTGCAACGAGAGCTGGACTCGAAGGAAAAGGCGGCGAACAAGGCGGCGGCGCAGCTGATCCGCGACAAGTACGCCGAGTTGGGTCGCATGACGTTCCACGAGGCCTCAGTACTGCTCCTGTTCATAGTACTTGTTCTCCTCTGGCTCTTCCGATCGCCGCAGTTCGTCAAGGGCTGGTCGGATTACTTCACTCAGGACATTTTCCCGCCCAAAAACGTCACTGTGGGCGAAGGAGCCTCTGCCATGTAAGCAGCTTGGTAAAAATATGCAGGGTAGGCCAAAAAAAGTGACCTGATTTCCGTGGCACTTTGGAACATACAAATGCATGCCATTTTAAAAATAATTGAACAATAAGCTTTCATTTGGTGCTTTTTTCAATGCCAAAGCTCTATTTCCTACTAAGCTATTTCAAGTCAAAAATTGGTCTACTTTTTTTTGGCCCACCCTGTACAAGGGTTCTGACAAAAGTTCTGGAATGGGTGGGCACAGCACCAGAAAAAACTCATTCAATTTTTGCCCCCAGTTTCCCTTTTTGTCTAGGGATGAAAAAAAAGGTTCTAGGTTTGAAAAAAAGGATGAGGAATCCAATAAAAAAAATTTTGTCCACCTCCAGTGACCGCTTGTGGTCGACTCCAAGAACTTTTGTTAGAACCCTTGTATGTACAAAAAAATCTCATTGCAACAAACTCATCCCATCAGCAGGGTCCTGAGAAAGAATTCCTTATTCATGTTCTTCAAAAACAACAGTCCTTTCTTTGAATGGTGATGGAAAATTGATATACTGTATTTCATTTACTAAATGCAAGCAGTGTACAGTATTGCCAAGTTGAATTTCTCATAAAATACTTACAATCAATTTTCTGAACACTTATTTAGGTAGTCACCTATAATTATTTTGCCAGTGATTTCAAACAGTATTCCTTATACTGTAATGTCCTTATCTGAAAGATTTGATGCAAATTAGTCTTAATACTGTGCATGGATTTCTTGTTTATTTTTTCTTTTTGAAATAGGGTCCTGTGAATCTTCATAATTATTTAAGGAATATTTTGGATAACGCTTAATCAAAGACCATACTTTGTTTTTCCAAATTTAATATATACAGTATTGAACCCTGGGAAACTGAAGTATGGGTCTGATATTTGTTGTAAAGCACAGCTCTGAATAATTTATACTAGGTTAGCTTGTGATGGAAGCTTTGTTTCAGTTATGACAGCAAAATATACAAAGTCTTCATTGTCATCTCCTCTGCCATTTTAGTTATAGTCCCGCAACTTATTCATAGCACATATAGAAAATATGAAAACCGCATAGATAATCCCATGACAGCAACATGTATGATGATGAATGATAGTAATAAGACAGACACAGTCTGCATTATGCCATATTTTATTCCCCTCTAATTTTGTTTGTGTCTAAAATTTTAGTGTTCCAACCTTTTGGACCTGCAGACTGGCAAAAAAAATCTGAAGACCAGCAAAGTTTCATACGATGTTTGAAGGCTCAAAAAAGTTTTTTTCAAAGACTATGTCAGGCATTTTAAAAGTTTCTATTTTTTCAAAATTTGAGCGTTGAGAACCAATGAAGCAGCATTAGTGGAATGACTTCAGAAAGTTTAGGAAGGTGGGCTAGAAGAAAGGTTTATCAAACTGCAAAATTAAAATAATTTATTTCAGCAGGTTAAAAGTTATCTGAAAAATCATTACAGGAGAAAGGTCAAGTTTTATTGTTCTTCAGATAATATCAAATGACATTGTCTTTCCAAAATTTCAGATGAAGATAGCATACAGTGAGAGCCCCACAAGGAGACACTCCAAAATACAGACAATTTGACTTAGGGACATTTATTTTCCAATAAAAAAAATGCCTGATGTGAGGACACTGGCTTGACATGCTTACATGCAGACATTGCATGATAAAATTGCCAATGAATTTCAGAAGAAGCAACTTTTATCAGGCTGAATTGTAAGAAATATATATTTTAAAAAAAAATGCCTGATGTGAGGACACTGGCTTGACATGCTTACATGCAGACATTGCATGATAAAATTGCCAATGAATTTCAGAAGAAGCAACTTTTATCAGGCTGAATTGTAAGAAATATATATTTTCAACCCTGAGATCTATGCAAGAAAAATTCTTTGGTATTTTCCTCATACATTCAGCTAATTAAAAAAATTACCCCCAGCATAGAAGGACTTCCTTATTCTCTTTTTGTGACTTAAATGTTTTTTTTTCAATGCAGTATTACAATGTACTGTATATAGAGGTACATATTCAATGCTCCAAATGCTTTTATTGAGTTGAAAGATATTCATTGAATCAATTGCAATTGTCACACAATTTTTTCATGAAATTCTGATGAATATTTCTTGCATAAATGACCAACTTGAAAATTAAATAATGTAAGTCTATGGGAAAACCAGGCTCAACTTGGCAACATTTTGGCTTAGGGACACTCTTGGTGCAATGATTAAATCCACATCTTGGGTTCTCACTTTACTTCCTTGCTACTTTTGATCAATTTAATATGCTGAGAAAATTTCCCAGCTGGTCCGCGGACCACAGGGTGGGGAACACTGTCCTACTTGGTAGAGAGGCGACACCTACATCTGACGTTGTATGAACAGAATGTAATTAAATCCCATGTAAAGATTCAGATAAAATACCACAACCTCTGTGTACTGCTACTGTACTAAAAAGCCTTATTGTTCTGTCTTTCTTCATATTACAGCTAAATGACCAATTCTGTCTTTATTCATTTTTTTTTAGATCAAAACCTTGGAAGCTGGAAATAGATGACGCTACTCCAGTGATGCTCATTGTTCTGCTCCTGTTTTTAATCCCAGCCAGACCGAATTTCTGGTGGTTTCGCGACGATTCCGGTGACGTATCTACAAAATGTTTCGTTTGGAGATTTACAATTGAGTTTTGGTTCATTAATATGATTACTTTTAATCTTTTCAGACCCTGAAAAGCCGTTGACTAGTCCATCCCTGCTTGATTGGAAGGTGGTTCACGAGAAACTTCCTTGGGGAGTCATGCTGTTGCTTGGTAATTATCGGTTTCCGGAGGGAACCGGAATTAAATGACCAGAAAATATGTATCCATCTTGTTGCAAGGTCATTAACTCCTCAGGAGGAAGTTTTTTTTTAATTTTTTAATGCTTCCGATGAGGACAAGTGAGTTTCCGTTTTATCACGGTGTCTATTATCCCTGTCTATTTCCTGTTCTTGATTATATCGAGGCAATTGATTTTCCACTGAGGAAAAAAGATTAAGTGTACTTGAGTCAAACTAATATTTGGTTAGTTGCGACAAGTCAAAGCATGTTGCACATGATACAGTACAGTCATAAAGGATGTAAAACTTTGAGAATTATTTTTTAAACGAATTTCAGATTGACAAGCAAAATGTAATTGTTTATTTTGGATTAATGAAAAGTTTAACTGCACCTAAAGTTTGCTAACATATTGGAGATGAACATGCTGACCGCATAACATGCAAATGTATAAAGCAAAGTGTATTAATACTTCAATCGATTTTGTTGATGTGTGAGGTTACTAAGGTGTAATTCTGGTCTTGAAAATGTTGCACATGTGCAAAATTTTGTGAGACTTCAATTAAAATTATTTTCTTTAGAAACAATCAGCCTGTTATCACTAGAAAACCTTTTGTTTGGCGCAATATTTTATTTCACTATGAAGAATTAAATCATATACATTTTTGGAGAGACGGTATTGTATCTCAAATATTTAAAAAATTTAATTTTCGCATTTTCAGAAGATTTTCAACTCTTCAGGAAAATGTATAGACAGAACAAAACTGTTATTGGAAACATCAGTACTGTATATTTAAAAAATATTTTCCTGCTGAACTCATGAATTCCATATCAAAAATGTTAAACATGCAATATTTATTTAATTTCAATTGAACATGTATTATTGAATTTGGATGAGTAAATCTTAGACAAGATAAGTCCGTCAAAACATATTGAAACTGAAAAAAAGTGTGGCACTGCATCAAAAATTCAGAATCATTCTTTTCTTTACACAATCATTTCCTCAAGCAAATACAATAATGTGTGTTAAAGTTTTGGCTCTACTGCAATTTTGATTTCTGCATGTTTAAAATGCTCATTTCTAGCTTCTATCAGCTTTTTAGCCCATTATTTTCACCTATTTTGTTTACTCTTTCAGTAATTTTCATGCACATAAGGTGTATAGTTAATCAGATTCAATTCTTGAAGTTGGATCAATATGAGGAAGGCTTAAAATACATATAATGTACTCAAAGAATGCAAGACAAATTAAAAACTAGAATTAAAAAAAGTATTCCCAAAATGTATTGTTATGACATCTAATAGTTTCTTCGCCAGAAAAGTTTGTGATTATGATATTTGTTCAAGGAATTGCTGCAGTACTTTATTATTGTATGCTGTTCTTGAGGAAGGGCCCTTTTGGATATATATTCATTTGTACATTTCTTTTGAAATCCTTTCAGGGGGAGGTTTTGCTATGGCAGAAGCCTCTGAGCAGTCAGGCTTGAATGCATGGCTTGGGTCACAACTTGCAAAACTCAACTACTTGAACCCTGGTTCTCTGGTTTTCTTGATCACTCTGATGACAGCCATGATCACAGAGGTTGCTTCCAACACTGCTACTGCTACTATTCTCATGCCTGTTTTGATCAATCTTGTGAGTGTCATATATGAATTTAGAGTTACTGTCAACTATTGGTCCAAAAACCTATTCATTTAGGTTCCAGACAAGCATTTGCTGTTAACTTTAAAATGTGTTCACCAAGTCCAATGTTTTCAATGAATTTAAAAGGGAATTATATGATCATTGCGCCCAAATTACTATTGAAATTTTCAGATAATGTAGTATCTCCCTATATGTCCCCTCAGCTGATTGGGTTCCCTTAATTCTTTTTCAAAAAGTTATAAATAAACATCGCATGCAGTTGAAGCTATTCCATGCAAAATAAGCTCATTTTCTGTAAAAAATTTTGAAGGAATTAGGAAAATCAAAAATTAATTCCATGAGAAACTGTGCTTCTAAGTGATTCAAAAGCACAGTCTCACACAAATGGCAACAGTTCAGAATACAAATTACAGAAGAGCAAGATAGAAAATGGACAAGAAAAACCCTTGAATATTATCAAATCTACAAAATATTAATTGAGAAGAAATACAAATACTTACATTAACATGCCAGGAAGCAGCTGTCCTGCATATGCATTTAAGTGATAGACTTAATTCTTTGGAATGGTATATAAATTGGAATCCAGTTTTTCAACTGAATTTTGAGTTGGTTCTACTAAATGTTGGTTGGGATTTAGCTGGAACAAAGTTTGTTGTCCAAATTTTGGTTTGTTAACATCCAGGGACTTTGCCTTCCATTTAAGAAAATATTGGAGAGAGAGGAAGATTATGATAGTACTCTATTGATTTTAATTTTATGTTTGAAATGAAGGATAAATGTGTACAGAAATTCTACACCAGCCAAATGCCAAGCCATCTATCCTTTTTTCAAAATCAGATCCAATTTGTTATATGAAATATAGTTAATGTACCATATTATTAATGCTATAAATTCTTTTTTGCAGGCTAGTAAAATCCGGGTACACCCACTGTATTTGATGTTGCCAGCAGCTGTGAGTTGCTCCTATGCTTTCATGCTTCCAGTTGCTACGCCTCCAAATGCCATTGTTTTCAGTGCTGCAGGGATGAGCAGCATTCACATGGTAAACTGGATGCATAAAAATTGCCCCTCATTATTTTTTTTTTAACTCATGTCGAAAATTTTGTTACGTTCCAGCTAAAACCAGGGATTTTCATGAACATCATTTGTGTTGCTGTCATCAACATCATGATCAATACTCTGGGAAAGGTGATTTGGGATTTGGATGAATTCCCGAGTTGGGCTGAAAGACCCTGAGTCGAATTTTCACGTTTTATGATCAATTTGCTGAATAAAATAGCAACATCTTTTTCGTACGATTCTTTTCCCTATTTTATTTCCGATGTGCTGGTGCTGTATTCCATTGGACTTACCACGGTTGATATGAATATGATGGTGAGTGACACCTAGGAAATTTATGGAAGTAGATGTAAGTTTAGTTCTTGAGAATATACCCTTGAGGACGCTTTACATCACAAACCTGAAACCGAGGGCCCGAAATCGATGCAAGTGAGAGGGGAAAATGCCTGTGAGATCATCCACATGATCGGATGGTCATGATTACGTTAGACCTGGAAGCTAATACCCAGGACATATTTTTAATATAGCAACTCTGTATCTTACAGATTTCTCTAAGCTTTATTCAAAATTTCTCGAGCTTACCACGAACAGAAAACATGTAGAGAAGTGGACCGTCCTCTCTCAAACTTCATTATCTGTTTGGCCACCAAAAGCTGCGTCAATATGTACCGGCCTTTTGGAAACCAAGCATTAATACGGAGTCCAAAGCACCGAAAGCAAGACACATGGGGAAGAATTGTGCTTCCGATGATTTACAGTATCTTTTAACTTTTAATCGATATGGCACCCGATGATACAAAGAGGGGAAATTTTAAAATCCAACTGGTGTTCAGACGTTTCTCCCCATGATTCCAAGAAATAAAAATATTTTCAAGTGAGCATGATGAAGTCCGCGTGAAGCTAAAAACGTTGAAAATTGGACTGCAATGGCTCTAGTATACGTTTTTGTTTGTTTTATGACTGATGCACATTCTACAACATTCACAATATCTCGATTTCTAAAGTAAAAATCATGGTCGTACTTTGACTGACCATTGCATGACCCTGTGCGAACATAAACAAAACGACGTAGTCGCGGAGTCGGGGGACCCGCTTCGGGGGATTTGAAGTCGGAAATCGTGCAGTTGGTTGAATGCGTTGTATGGGATACGGTGTGAACTGTGGTATCTGTGCGTGGAAAGGCTCAGTCGCTCAAGTGCGTGCGTTAAGTGACCTTTCAGTTGAACGAAGAGATACTGCACTTGGTCTTGCCTGTCAGAAAGTGTCGTCCGCTGGACCGTTCGTGTATCAGCGTGTCGTCAATTGGAATTGATCCAGTTGGGAAGCGCTTTCCATTCCGTGAAATTTGACGATACTGGTGTATCCCGTAGTGGTTGACTCTTGTTGAGACTCTCCGGTTGTGTTTGTGACGAGAACGTGAAATATTTTGTGTAAAGCCTTTTCTCTTGAAGAGTTACCCCTAAATTTGCCTGCGGCCAGAGAAAATTCAGAAGTGATTCTGTATTATCTGATGTTATTCTCTGTGCGAAGGAGGCAGATAGCGCGAACTGCGTTGTGTGTGAGGGAGAAAATGAAAGATTAGATTTTGAGGATCAAGCCTGCAAAAACAAAGGCCATGGAGTTTTCTGGATCCATTGTGGCGGCCTCGGAACTGGTTCCTGGTGAGCTTTCAGTTTCAATTCTTAGCTTGTGATTTTAGTAAATGTGGATTTTAGTAATGGAAAGCTGCTGACCCTGTATAACCTGTTCGTATCTGACTCAGAGACTTTTACCGGCCAAGTCCCAGAACCCGGTCTAATGAATGCTATGGTGTTTGTTTGAAAATAAGCTAATGAAATTGCACGCATTCTTGTTTAATTCAAGGGCGTCTCTTCCTTGTTACCCTGACTGACGATGCGAGTCCACCGAGAGCTACGAGGAGCACGACCTACTTCTGCGTGGACGATGATTACGTTTACAACAATTTCTACAAAGATTTCGGACCACATAGTCTGGGTGTACTTTACAAGTACTGCCTTCGTATCAACGATTTATTGGAGGTTAGTTTATTCTCCCTTTCAGTGCTTCGTCGCGTTCAGTGGTGATTCGAATTAACCCATACCGTCGCCTCGAGCTTTTGTGTTCGTTTTCGTCGAGCTGATAGAGTGAAGTGATCAGACTCAGAGAATGAATGAAATCGGCGTTCGAACATCCAGTTGTTCTCTCGAAAGCGCGTTGAAGAAGTTCTGTCTCGAAATTTAGAAGACATGCTCTTGGAAAGCTTTCATTTCCGGCATCGCGGAGGTCGCCCACTATCCGGGAACCACACCCATACAGAGTTTACCACGGACAACCCATGAGATTTTGTCTTTTTTTGTTATGGATCATCTTTGAATTTTTTTTTTCATGAAAATGCCCTCTGTGTTTCTATGTTCATGCCTGTTCGAACGTACGTTAGGTGTAAGAATGGTTGTTACGTTAGGCCAGCATGTTCGGTCAGGTCACGTGTGACTTGGATCAAAGTTAGGTGAGTTAATGAGGTTGAAGAGCTAAAAATTTCTGTTGGATGGTGTACATGATGTTCCCATTTCCGATTCGAGTAGAAATATTTTTTTCAGTGTGAATGTGTTACTTACTTTAATTGAAAATTATTTTGAAGGGGTTCGATTTCGCCCATTTTTAACGAGCTCACGGCCTTGTTAAATTATCTATTCCATTTACAATCTGAAGTGCTTCTTTTCTTTTATCTGCTTGGAGTGTTACTGAAAGGTTAGGTTTGAAAGGGGCTTTTGTAGTTAGAATTTTCTGTCTCTACTGAGGCGTTGGTTTGATGAAGAAATAATCTTTAAATTGACACAAATAGCTTGGAAGAATGTCTTTTTTCTCAACGACTGAGAAATGTGTCAAATCGGATTTTTTATGAAATAGATCCTGTCTTGGCAGAAAAATGAGCTGTGAAGAGCCAGTTTTAAATGCGATTTTCTTATTTTTCAAAGATTGAAGAATATGATGGTCGTGCGTTTATTGGTGAAGTTGAATTTCAAGGGACAAGAAAAAAATTCGACTTAGTTCGAGTTATCGAATCTCGCTAGATGAGGATCGGATTTATTAATGGCTTTGTAGAATGAATTGTTCTGTGGGTTGAGCTGTGCCAAGGTGCTCATCGCATCTCGAAACATTTCCTGCAGATGTGTCTCATCGTTTTTCTTTTTCCCTTTCCCCCCGCCTTATTTTGATGGAGCGTCTGTGCGGAGGTGCGTTTCAACGGCCGCACCCAGCTTGTCCAATTACGGTCTCTGCGCATGTTCGTGCGCCTGCTTGCTTGTGTATAGCAGCGCATCGGGCTTTCAGTGGAAGAACATTAACTCGATTGTATTCCTGCACTTCCGGGGACAATTTTTGTGCTCTCTAGAAGTCTAGGGGAGTGTTCCACAACCCGTGGTCCGCGGGAAATTTTCTTCAACACAATAAATCAAAATTAGCCGTGAAGTCAGTAATATTTTATCTGAAATTTCAGCAAGACAATTTCAGTTGAAATTGATTGATGAAAAATAAAAGTTGGCTTTTCTCCCAATAACACTTTCAACAAGTTTTCTCCTGCAGAAATAAATTATTTTAATTTGTCATTCTGAGAAACATTTCTTCAAGCTCACCTTCCTAACATTTTGAAGACATTCCACTCTGGATGCTTCATTGATTCTCAAGTTTATAAAAAAAAGACGGAACATTTTTAAATTCCTGCCAAAAAGTCTTCCAAAGCAAAACTTATTTAGCCTGCAAAATATTTTAAAATTTGGCCAGTCTGCAGAAAACTTGTTAGAAATGTGCCAGTCCAAAAGAACTTCCAAGGAAATTTGCTGGTCTGCAGGGTTAAGGTTGGGGAACACTGCTCTAGGGCTGTGTTCCCCAACCCATGGGACTGGTGCCAGGCCACAGGAAATTTTTCAGCAAAATAAATTTATCAAAAGTAACAATGGAACGTCTTTTGCTCATCTGGAATTTTGGAAAGGCAATGTCAGTTGAAATTATTTGATGAAAAAAGTTGGATTTTCTTTTAACACTTCAGACAAATTTCCACCTGCTGAAGTTAATTATTTCAATTTTTGATTCTGACAAATGTGTCTTCAAGCTCAACTTTCTAATTTTTTCAAACTTCAAATTACAGCTCATTCATTGGTGCTTAATTTAATGTTTGCAAGAATCAGAAACTGTTCAATTACTTGCCATAAATTCTTTCAAGCAAAACTTTTTTGAGTGTGCAAAAATTGTATGAAACTCTACTGGTCTGCAGAAATGTTTTTGGTATTTTGCTGGTCCACAAACAATTTATGGAAATTTGCTGGTCTAAGGTTGGGGAACACTGCTCCAGGCTGTTTCCCAACGGAACATTTTTAAATTCCTGCCAAAAAGTCTTCCAAAGCAAAACTTATTTAGCCTGCAAAATATTTTAAAATTTGGCCAGTCTGCAGAAAACTTGTTAGAAATGTGCCAGTCCAAAAGAACTTCCGAGGAAATTTGCTGGTCTGCAGGGTTAAGGTTGGGGAACACTGCTCTAGGGCTGTGTTCCCCAACCCATGGGACTGGTCCCAGGCCACAGGAAATTTTCAGCAAAATAAATTCATCAAAAGTAACAATGGAACGTCTTTTGCTCATCTGGAATTTTGGAAAGGCAAGGTCAGTTGAAATTATTTGATGAAAAAAGTTGGATTTTCTTTTAACACTTCAGACATATTTCCACCTGCTGAAGTAAATTATTTCAATTTTTGATTCTGATAAATGTGTCTTCAAGCTCAACTTTCTAATTTTTTCTAACTTCAAATTACAGCTCATTCATTGGTGCTTAATTTAATTTTTGCAAGAATCAGAAACTGTTCAATTACTTGTCATAAATTCTTTCAAGCAAAACTTTTTCGAGTGTGCAAAAATTGTATGAAACTCTACTGGTCTGCAGAAATGTTTTTGGTATTTTGCTGGTCCACAAACAATTTATGGAAATTTGCTGGTCTAAGGTTGGGGAACACTGCTCCAGGCTGTTTCCCAGCCTTTTTAAGCATGCAGACCAGCAAATTTCAAAAAAAAAAATTCTGCAGACCAGCAAGGTTTCATGCAATTTTTGCATACTTAAAATTTTTTGTTTTTGTTTGATAGACTTCATGGCAGATATTCAAAAAGTTTCATATTTTTTGCAAACATTAAGTTACAAAGGAATGAAGCAGCTATAGCCAAATGTCTTCAGAAAAATTAAAAAGTTGGGCTTGAAAAAAGGCTTCTCAGAATGAAAAATTGAAATAATTCATTTCAGTAGGAGAAAAGCCAAGTTTTATTTTTTATCCGATAATTTCAATTGCCGTTGTGTTTCTGAATTTTCAGCTAGCAATAATAAACTTCAAAACTACCTTTGAAAAATGCATTTTGTTGAAGAAAATTGCTCGCAAATCCGACGAACACCTGCTCTGTTTAGTTTGAAAGGGGGTGATACCTTGTAGAGAGTTGCCCCCGTCACCTTTTTTCAATACTAATACGTATATGCCATATATCCCATACCAAGAAACCCGCGCGGCGAGGACGTTGTTAACGTTGGGTAGAGCAGCTCCGGGAAAATTAGTAAAAAGACACCTACCCCTAGCAAAACTTCTGGACAGATGTGCGAGGGTTTTCCAATGTGCATCTGGATTGTATTTTATCTTCTTCGTGACGTGCGTACCGTCACCTATTTAGGTATAGTCGAATTTCCAGGGACCAGGAAAAAAATTTGAGTTGGGGGAACGAACATTTTTTGTTTGGGGAAAGAAATAAATAATTGCGGGAAATTGTAGTTTTTGATATTCTGGGGCTTGAATTGTTTTTTAAATAAGTTGACATGATGCTTAACTTCCTTTTTAAAGAACTTCAAATTATAGTTTTATTGGTTTTCTCTTTCCTGCGTCGAAAAAAATACATAGTCACGAGGCCTTTAGAAAATCCGAGTTTTGGAGGTTTGAGTAGGGAAAGCCTTTTGAGTTAGGGAGGATTTTTTTAAGGGAATTCAGACAGGGACTTGAAAACAAAAAAAAAATATTCGACATGGGAAGCTTTCCAATTCCTCATTTTTCATTAAATCTTGCTACTGAAGTCCCTCAGTTGGTTTCCACTCGGGCTAGGCACATCAGAGTCCATGTTCGAAATTTGTTACTGTACAGTGTTTTTAATTTTTCTTGGCACGTGCCACTGGTTTAAAAGCCCCCTAACATAACCTGACTTCGAACCCAAGTTGAATAACGTTGCATTAACTCGTAACTAGACTAAGCTGGGATTTTCCTGCTTACGGGAAGCGTTGTCCAGTGTCTTAGAAACGGGTCGATGTGATGAACGCAGAAACAGTGTGAGCAAACAAAACGAAAAGTAAGAAAACGAACAATATTTTGTGGCTGACCATAAAATATAATTCTGTACTGGAAACGTGATGTTATCATCACTTCATACTGGGTGATGAAGCATGATGGGAGTATTTTCCTTCTGGCTCAAAGAGTGTCCATCATCATTCATTGTTATTGTTTCGCTAGTAATTGGCGTATTGTTGATATTATTGAGGTCCTGTTTGTGTCAAGGAGATGTTTGAATGCAGAAAAAAAAAATGAGTTGAACGGATTCAAAACAAAATGGTGGAAAATTGCAATTTTTTAATGGTTTTTAATTGGAACGCTTTCCTGAATAATAAAATATGAAGCAGAACTTCTGCAAACGAGTTTATCGTTGTCAGACTATTGTGCAATTTGCTTTGGTTAGATTGTAGCCATTGAAAGCCTTTGTTTTCAGCAGTAGAATCTAAAAATGAGCCCACTTTAAGCCATATATAATTCGAATCGCTGTTCATTCCCTTTGAATTGGGTTTTTTTCAATTTTTGCACAGAGCAAAAAGTGTGTCGATTATGAAATCATTTTTGAAGGCTTATTTTCTGTTCTCTCAACTTAATTTATTTATACAGTAGATAATTCGGGAGAAAAGTTGGACACTTGTGTATTTCAATTTTCTATCTATGCATTCAACATAAAACGCTCAAGTTTAGTTTAGTGTTTATAAAGTTTCACGGGAACCTTTTCCAGTCACTATATGGATTAGGTAATTTTTTATCGAACAGGAACTCATTAACGCTCATTATTCTCAAGATGGACATCAATGAAGCAGGAAATGGTTAAAGCGCTAGTTTTTATCATCATTTGAGCTCTTTCCATCATAATGAATGATATAAAAAATGGCGTGGGTAGTCATTTTAAATAAAATAAGCAGATACGAAATTATTCTAATAATCTTTTCCGATGACCTGATTTTCCAAATAATCCAGATGTAAAATTAGCCATGAATATCGTTTGAAAAAAAAAT